TCTTTTAAATGAACTAGAATGCTAGAGGACTGTTCATTGGCTAGTCTTTGCCAGCACAAGCTGGATAAAACCAGTACTGTTGCCAGGAAGTGATCTTCCCATACTAGTCCGCATCTGTTTTCTTTTTATTTTGTGTGTTAGATTTTGTTTTGGATATTTTTATAAATTTACTGAGTAACATTCTTAATTTTTTGCTTGATTTAGGAATTCATGTAATTTATCAGCTCTATTTTTAAAAAATAATTTCTGGACTGCTTTCAGTAACCATTTAGAGTCCTCATTTTATTTATATTTTTGATTTCACAATTGCTCCCTTATTCTTTCAGGTTTGTGTCCTTTCCCTCATGGATTCTCATTTTTTAAATTTACTTCTTATATCTCCTTCATCAACAACAGTATATTTGATATGGTGTACCTTAATACAGAAAAAAGTTTTCCACATCTGAAACTTTCTCAAATAGCCAAAGAATACCTCCACTTCTGATATAAGTATGTGCAAAAAGTAAATTTAAGACTTTTTTTATCACAGAAGTTAATTCACAGTTACTGAAAATGGGTTTACCTCACGTATTTCTTTTTAAAAAACTGGAATTCTAGAGGACTGTTCGTTGGCTGGTTTTGGATTGCACAAACTGGATAAAACCACTTCTTATTTGTTTCTTTCACAACAACACATTTGCCATAGCATACCTTAATACAGAAAAAAGCTGCCCATATCTGACATTAATTCCCCAAAAGACAAAGAGCACTTACACTTCATATATATAATATCCATTATATATATATATATATATATATATATATACACACATATATATGCAAAAAGTAAAATTTAAGCCTTTTTAGCACAGAGGTATTTAGGGGTTGTAAATGGGTTTGCCTCAGGTACTACTTTTAAAAAAATCAGAAAATCTAGAGGACTGTTCATTGGCTGTTTTTGGCTGGCAGAAACTGCATAGATCCACTTCTGTTGCTGTGAACCATTTTCTAATACTAGTTCACACTGCTTTTTCTGTTTTCTGTGTTCAATTTTGTTTTAGATATTCTTATAAATTTACCAAGTTACATTCTTGGTTTTTGCTTGATTTAACAATTCATGTGATTGGATATCAGCTCTTTATTTAAAATTTCTGGACTGCTTCAACTCACATTTCAGAGTCCTCATTTTATTTATATTTTTGGCTTCACACTGGCTGCCTTATTCTTTCAACTGTATGGCTTCTCCTAATTAAATTCTGTTGTTTTAGATTTCCATATTTAGTTTTCTTTCATCAATATAATGTATTTGCCATTGTATACCTTAATGCAGAAAAATCCTGACTACAAATGACACTTAGTCCCCAGAAAGAGAACAGCGACCCTTCTCATATATATTTTTGGGAAAAGTAAACTAAGTCTTTTCAGTTCAGAAGGAATAAGCATACCTTAATACAGATAATACCTCTGATAAATATATGTGTAAAAATAAATTTGAAGATTTTTAAGTAGAGGGAATTCACAGTTATTGACAACGGGTTTGCCTCAGGTACTTCTTTTAAAAACCAGGAATGCTACAGCACTGTTTATTGGCTGGTTTTGAACGGCACAAAATTTATAAAACCTGCTGCTAGGTACTGATGTTCCCATACAAAAATTATGTTTTATTCTTTTTAATTTATTTAGTATGTTATATTTCATATATTATTATACAGAATATCTATTTATATACATATATAAAATATAATATACATTATATATTGGGTAAATTTATCAAGTGACATTCTTGGTTTTATGCTCAATGGAGGAATTTATGTAACTGGATATTCACTCTTTTTTAAAAAAAAAATTCAGGACTGCTTCAAGTCACCACTTACAGTCCACATTTTATTTATATTTTTGGCATCACAACGGCTCCCTTATTCTTTTGGCTGTATGCCATTCTGCTCATGGATTCTGGTTTTTTAAAATTTACTTAGTTTTTTTTTTCATCAACAACAACATATCTGCCATAGTAAAACTTAATATAGAAAAAAAGCTGTCCAGGGACCGCCACACCTGCAGCACCAGCATCCTATATGGGCAACGGGTTCTAGTCCCAGTTGCTCCTCTTCCAGTCCAGCTCTCTGCTGTGGCCCAGGAAGGCAGTGGAGGATGCCCCAAGTGCCTAGGCCCCTGCACCCCATGGGAGACCAGGAGAAGCACCTGGCTCCTGGCTTCGGATCAGCGCGGCATACTGGCCGCAACGGCCATTGGGTGGTGAACCAACGGAAAAGGAAGACCTTTCACTCTGTCTCTCTCTCACTGTCCACTCTGCCTGTCAAAGCAAACAAACAAACAAACAAGCAAACCAGGATTCCTAGAGGACTATTCATTAGCTGGTTTTGCCTGGCACAAACTGGATAAAACCACCTCTGCTATTAGGAACCAATTTTCCCATAAAATCCACCATTCTGGATTTTGTGTGTCTGGAGGTTATATTTTATTGTGGATAGTTTTATAAATTTATCAAGTTCCATTTTTGGCTTTATGCTTTATTTAGGAATTCATGTAATTGGTATCTGGTCCTTTTTTTAAAATTTCTGGACTGTTTCAACTCACCATTCAGAGTCCTCATTTTACTTGTATTTTTGGATTCATGTGGCTTCCTTATCCTTTCAGCCTTGTGCCATTTCCCTTATGGATTCCCATTTTTTCAATTTACTTCTTATTTCTCTTTCATCAGCAACAACACATTTACCATAGTGTACCTTAATATAGAAAAAGTTCCCCACGTCTGACCTTTTAACCTCAAAAAGGCAGAGAACAGCTCCACTTCTGATATTTGCATGTGGCCATAGTAAATGTAAGCCTTTTTTTAGTACAGAGGGTTATTGAAAATGGGTTTGCCTCAGGTACTTCTTTAAGAAAAACAAATACGAGAGGACAGTTCATTGCCAGGTTTTGGCTACAACAAACTGGATGAAACCGGTTCTGTGGCTAAAAACCTCTTTTCCCATACTAGTCCACCATTTTAGTTGTGTTATTTATTCTGTGTGTTACATTTTGCTTTGGATGTATGTATAAATTTCCCAAGTGACAATCTTTGTTATATGGTTATTTATGTATAAATGTAATCAGATATCGGGTTTCTTTTTTAAAAAAAATTCTTCAGTGCTTCAACTCACTATTGAGAGTCCTCATTTTACTTATAGTTTTGGCTTTGTGCTGGCTCCTTACCCTTTCAGCTTTATGCCATTTCCCTTATGGACTCCCAGTTTTTCAATTTCCTTCTCATTTCTCTTTCATCAACTTTTGCCATCACGTACCTTAATACAGAAAAAAGTTTCCATCTGATATTTTAATCTTAAAAAGGTAGAGAACACCTCCACTTATGATATATTGATGAGGGAATAGTAAATTTAAGCCTTTTTAGTACAAAGGGAACTCAGTTATTAAAAATGGATTTGCCTGGGGTACTTCTTTAAAAAAAGATAAATGCTAGACAACTGTTCACTGGCTGGTTTTGGCTGCCACAAACTGAATAAAACTGGTTCTGTTGCTAGGAACCTGTTTTCCCATACTAGCCCACCATTCTGTTTTTTAATTTTTATTTTGTGTGTTACATTTTCTTTTGGGTATATGTATACATTTACCAAGTTACACTCTTGGTTTTATGCTTGATTCAAGAATAACTGTAACCAGATATCCCTTTTTTTTTATCTATACTGCTTCAACTCACCATTTACAGTCCTCATTTTACTTATATTTATATTTTGGCTTTATACCGGCTTCCTTATTCTATTGGCTTTGTGCCATTTCCCTCATGGTTTCCCACAGCAACTCTGATGCCAGACTCATGCCACTGGTGACAGTGAAAGGACTTGTATGCTCATGTGTGGAGCAGCCAGGCCCAGCTGGAGCAGAACCCACACAGCTAGGACATACATATATGCTTACACAGACAGACAGACACACAAACACACATGCTCACTCCACAGGGGAGTGAAGTTCAGGCTCTGCTTTGTTGGGAAGAGCAGAGGCTGCTGGAATGCAGCAGGAGCAAGCCCACAAAGCTGGACGAAACCCACCAGGCCCTTCACACTTCTGCAGGGGCCAGAGGTGATCTGGAGAAGCATGGCATTAGAGGAGCCTGAGCTGCTACTGGTGACAGGGATCCCTAGCATTCCCTGGTGGTCTCCCCAGTACCTAGCTCTCCCGGGTGCTCCTGCCCCTCCCCCACACTTCCTTGTTGGCAGCATTGGCTTCAGTATTACTTGCATGTGTGTCCAGTATCGGTGCTGAAATCAGTGTTTCATCTCTCAACCACTTACCTGCACCCAGGGCAGGGGCCTTGTTCCTCCCACAGACAGACTAGGTGGGGCCGACACAGGACACAAAGAAGGAAGGCCATGCTCGGCCATCTGCTCCCTTCTCTGTCATCCCGGGAAAACTCTCTGATGATCAGTGCTGACAGCACCACAGAGGAACAGGACAGGAGCAGAGTGGGAGGACACAGAATGGATCAGCAGGGCTGAGACCTGTCCTGTGTCAGAAGTTTGTAGCCTGGGGAGTCCTGCTTACTGCAGGGGCAGGCACAGACTGAACTCAGGGAGCTGGGTGAGGTGTGTGGGGGGGAACCCACTGCACTAACTAAAATTCAAAATGCCAAGGCTTTGAAAGTTGTTACAAGGAGTAGCAACGGCATAGCAGATTAAACTACTGCTTGGGAAATGGGCATCCCATACTGGAGGGCTGGTTTGAATCCTGGCTGCTCCTCTTCCAGTTCGGCTCCCAGCTAATGTGATGGGAAGGTAGCAGAGGATGACCCACGTTCTCGAGTCCCTGCCACCCATGTAAGAGTACAGAACGCCTGGCTGAGACCTAGCTGTTGCAGCCATTTGAGGAGTAAACCAGAGGTTAGAAAAATCTCTCTCCTTCTTTTTCTCGTTGCACTTATTTGCAAATAAAACAATAATAATAATTAATAATAATAAAACATTGGTTCAAAACAGAGGTGTATTGGAGGAAGAGGACAGGTTACAGGTAGAGAGCCCTGCAGAAGGCTGGGATTTATCGAGCAGCTGACAGAAGGTGGTGGCAGAGCTAGGTCATGGCACATTTGCCACAGTTCTTCCCTCTTTCCTCAGCCCTGCAAAGACCACAGAAGCCCCCAGTATAGGGTTGTGCTTATTCTGAGGATGAGGAGGCTGACACTCATCCCTCCTGAGCTGGGAGGGCACCACTGGGACAGGACTGGTAGAACTCCACAAAGCTACCATTACCCAGAACCCTCTCTTTCCATGTTCTGTGGCAGTTAGAGGCCACCAGTGTTTCCAGTAACCCAAAACCCCCTCTTTCCATGTGTCCAGTAACTGACGGACCTGGGGTTCATTTTCTAGACAGGAGGCATGTTTGGCAGAGCTCGATGGATCCAGCTCTGCATGTCCTGCTGACTTGAGGACATTTGCTTTCAGGTGTGTGGCCCTGGGCTCTCTGGGCTGCTGCTGAGGGTGATGCTGGCTGAGTCTTCAGTGATGCCCATTGTGTGCTGAGCGTGGATACAGTCATGTCGCTGCTTCCTCAGAGTGACCCTGGAACATGGGTGCCTGTGTGCCCTGGGTGTGAGCCTGTGTCAGGACACGGATGTCTGGGCAGGCACTATGCAGAGCACTCAATTCAGGTGTGGGGTGAGCCCATCTGTGAACCCACCGGGCATGTGGTTCCCACAGGTGGGAGTGGGGTGGGAGCCTTCTGCACAGGTGCAGTGATGGTCATGGGAGGAAAGCTGGATGGCAAAGGAGGATGAAGAATGACCATCCTAGGGAAGTAGGGTGGGGCTATCCATGTCCCTGTCCTCTGCACAGTTCACCATTCTGGGACCTGGACTTCAGGCACTCACTGCCTGTGGGGCTGACACCTCCTCTGATCTGATGGACAGGAGCTGTGGGGAGCAGTTCCCTGTGGTTCTTTGAGGTTGTGTCATGGTGGGATTTTTGCCTTTCAGCTTCAAGGAGCTGTGGGACCTGGAGGTCTTGCTGGTCCAGGAAGCAGCACACATCATTGCTGAGTGTGAGCAGTTACAGAACTGGAGGCTGCATATCGGTGAGTTGGAGATCTGCTTCACAGAACCCCAAGGGGCTGCCCTGGTTCCACCAGTCCCTGAGTGTCCATGGCCTCTCACCAGGCCTCCCCCACCCATTTGGCATTAGGCCAAAGCTGAGTGACTCACAAGCAACTCAGGGGGCTGGTAGGGACAGAGTTGTGGTACAGCAGGTGCTGAGATCTTGCAACGAAGTCTTTTGTCCCCATTTTGTCCCAGGAGTGGGGTCATTTTCAGAAACTCATCCCTTGAAGTGGGACAGTGTTTACCTGTTTGAGAACTTGTCCCCAGCTGCCATCACAGTGCTCACCCTGGTCAGCATTAGGCCAGAGCTGAGTGATTCACAAGCAACTCAGGGGGCTGGTAGGGACAGAGTTGTGGTAGAGCAGGTGCTGAGAGCTCAGGGATTCACAAGGGCAGGGGGCAGCCTGCAGGTCCTCCCTGTCGCTGGTGGAGCCAGCCCAGTTCAGCAACATTCCAGAGCATGTAGCCATGGGGTGAGGGGCACCTTGCCTGGGCTGTGGGCAGGTGTCCAGCAGATCCCTGGGTCCCAGAGGGTTGGGCTAAAGGCCTCTTGTAGAAGGCTCCTAGGAGCAGCCATGGCTTTGTCATCAGGGGCTGAGAAGCTACCCAGGGACCCCTCCCAGGGAGAGGAGGACAAGCGGGTTTGCAGTTCACAGTGACCTAATTGCCCTTGGTTCCGTGCTGGGAGGAGGACTTGTGGTGGAGGAGGCAGGACTTGAATCTGTTCACATCATCATCCCAGGACTGCACAGAAGCACAGAGACTAGGAGGTGGGCTCAGCAGAGCACCTGGAACAGTGCCCCAGGGGATTGTTCTGGAAATGTATCAAAAACCCACCTTTATTGATGGTTGACTTACGTATTGCAAGCCACGTAGGGGAGGGGGGAGGTATCTTGCCTGAGCAGCTGACAGGACACAGAGCAAAGGATTGGCCACAGCTGTGTGGTCACTGTCACAGATTCTGGGGCCGACAAGGAAGGGGCACGGTGCGTTTCAAGCACATAGGACAAGCAGGTAGACAAGGGGGCTTCCTTTAAGGGATGTGGAGGCACCAGGATGGGTGGGCGCCTGGGTGAAGGCTCTCAGCAGCAAACAGTTCTCAGGCTAGGCACCCAGACCCTGTCACTTCAGGTCAAGGTCTTCAGGCAACAGCTGCTGAGGGCAGAGCCCACCTACTCCTGGGCAGCACAGCCCTTCTCAGAACAGTCCTCACTAAGCTCTAGCAAAGGGTGATGACTTCTGCCCAGGAAAGGCAGCAGATGGCAAGTCCAGCCCCGCCCCCCCAACACACACACAAGGAGGGTCCTGCTGGCCTTTTCTGCCTTGGAGACAAGGCAACAGACACTCACCCAATTAGAAGATCTAGGGCCTCAGGGTCTGACTCCTTTAAGTTCAGTCATGTTAGGGCTCCTATGCTGCCTCCAAGGGCCACTGCAGAAAGGCCAGCAACTGGACTCATGCCATCCCCTCTCCTCTCCCAGCCACGACACTCACACTCTAGAAATGCCTAAAGATGTTGAAGAACTGGAACAAATATCAGAGTAATAGCAAGGTAAGGAGGAGGTTGAGGGCCCCTTTATGACAACTTCCTGCATGCTTGGTACAAGCAGTGCATATTTCCAAGGCAGTACGCTGCTGATTCTCAGATGGCTGGAGGTAAGTGTTCTCACCCTAAAGTCTTCCTGTCCATCCATTGCATGGTCATCTTCTAGGGAGGGAAACTGATGTCACTATTTGGGTCACCACTAGGTCCAAGGTTGGGAGGCATCTTGGTGCTCCAAAAGGGTGAATCTACTGGGAATGAAGCCCACGCCTCCTGAGAACTGTGGGTAATGAGGCCAGAGCCCAGGCAGAGCCAGCCTCTCCCAAGACACCATGGAGCCCAGGGCTTCCATGTTCCAAGCACCTCAGGCTGTTCTCCACCCCATCCTGTTCCATCCCTGGGGTCTTGTCTCACCCAAGCCTCTCCTTTCCTGTAGCTGTGTCACAAAACAGACATGGGGATCACTGCCCAGATGTGGGGGAAGAAGTCAACACTGCTGCTAGACATGAACAAGATAAAGACCGAGAGTCCAGGAAAATACCAGGTACGAGCCCTCTACCTGCTCTCACACAGGTAGCACTAACAAGCCAGACATTATCACAGCCAAAGTCTCCCACCTGTTGTAAAGTGCAGCCCAAGGGATGGCCAGGCCTAGAGAGACAGGGTTATCCTTGTAGTATTTTTTTTTTGACAGGCAAAGTTAGTGAGAAAGAGACAGAGAGAAAGGTCTTCCATCTGTTGGTCTACTCCCCAAATGGCTGCTACGGCCGGCGCTGTGCCAATCTGAAGATAGGAGTCAGGGGCTTCCCCCTGGTCTCCTATGCGGGTGCAGGGCCCAAGCACTTGGGCCATCCTCCACTGCACTCCTGGGGCCACAGCAGAGAGCTGGACTGGAAGAGGAGCAACTGGCACAGAACTGGAGCCCCAACCGGGACTAGAACCTGGAGTGCCGGCGCCGCAGGTGAAGGATTAGCCTAGTGAGCCACAGCGCCGGCCTATCCTTGTACTTTAACAGGTGGCCTGGAGAGCAGAGCTTGGAGAGATGAGGTCATGGGAAATCTCAGCCACCTGGAGGTTGTGAGAAGGGCTAGAGTGCAGAGTGAGGGGTCAATGCCAACCAAGAGCTAGCTGGGAGCAAAATCAGGTTGGACTACGATATGCATGGAATGAGTTGAGGGTGAGGGCCATCCAAATTATGCCCTATTTTACTATTTGTGATCTCATATTTCTGCCTTTTTTACTTTTTATTTTGACTATGCCAATGTATCTCAACAATCAGGAATGAATAGTGTACCAAACCAAAAAATTCCATCCTCATAGTTCCTACAGGTATCTGAAGCAGTCTCCCGTCCCGCCTCACACAGCCACTCCCCCAGTGGAAAATAACTTAAACAAAGCCAAATGCATTTGTAGATATCTCAGTGTGCATTAGTAATTTAGAATTGTTTTTTAAACATGAGCATCATCACCCTTCAAATATTGCTGGAAGTCTACAATATCCAGTCAGTATTCATATCTACCTAACTGCCTTCCAGTCTCTAACTACATTCCATCAGAATGTGGAGCTTCTCTGTAGAGGAGCTAGTATTAAACACGTAAAGTAAAAACTTTCAAAAATGCCTTAAATAATGACAATTCCCATTGTGCCACTAAAAAGGCCACACTGAGTTATAAATTCAACAAAATGTTAGGGCATCAGTTCGCAGAAAATTACAAATCACTCATAACAGATATAAAAGATATAAATAAATGCAGAGTTGGACTATGTTTCATGGTTAAGAAGGCCCAGTACTACTATCAGCTTTGCCCACTCTGTCGAGTGGATTCAACCCAAAACCAGTCCAGGTCTCAGCAAGCTTTTCAGTAGACAATGCCAAGCTGATTCTGGAATGGACACAGAAAGCAAAGGGTCTAGAACAGCCAAAACGATGCTTATGCAGAAGAGATATGCTGAGAAACTCAAACTATTCTTTTTAGATTCTTCTACTATACAAGTACAGTAAGGAAGACATGGCTGTGTTAAAAAATGACAGATGTATAGCTCTGTGGGAGAAAATGGAGAAACTGGTTCTCCAATTTAAGTGATCTTTGACCAAGGGCCCAACAGAACTCACTGGATCCAGGTTACTCATTTTAACAAATGATACTGAAACAATCTGGCACCCCTATGCAAAGCAAAGCACAAAGTTCTCAATACATACCTCTACAGAACTGATTTAAAATGGACCACAGATCTAATTAACTATGAAATCATAAATATTCCATAAATATACAGAAGGATATGTACTTTGATTTCATGTTGAGTTTTTGCAAAATGCAAAAGCATATTCCAAGAATGACAGAAAAAAAATTGATCAGTGGAACTTCAACACTTTTATTCTGCCCAATATATTGTAAAGAGAATGAAGTAAAAAGCTAGAGAATGGGTTATGATTAGGGAGTGGGAGAAAATTGTATATTTTTTAAGGATTTATTTATTTGAAAGGTGGAGTTACAGGGAGACAGAGGCAGAGAGAGACAGAAGTCTTCCATCTGCTGGTTCACTCCCCAGATGGCTGCAATGGCTGGAGATGCTCTGATCCGAAGCCAGGAGCCAGGAGCTTCCTCGGGGTCTCCCACGTGGGTGCAGGGACCCAAGGACTTGGGCCATCTTCTACTGCTTCAGGAAAGGAGCAGCCTGGACTCGAACCGGAGCCCATACGGGAGGCCCGTCCTTCAGGCAGCGGCTTTACTCGCTACTCTACAGTGCCAGCATCAGGAGAAAATATTTACAAAACATACAGCTAATGAAGGACTTGTTCCTGATTATACACTGAACACTTAAAATTTAATCCAGAGGGGCCGGCACTGTAGCTCAGTAGGCTAAACCTCTGCCTGTAGCGCCAGAATCCCCAATTGGCACTAGTGGTGTCCTGGCTGCTCCTCTTCCAATCCAGCTCTCTGCTATGGCCTGGGAAAGCAGTAGAAGATGGCCCAAGTGCTTGAGCCCCTGCACCCATGTGGGAGACCCGGAAGAAGCTCCTGGCTCCTGGCTTTGGATCGACTTAGTTCTGGCCATTGAGGCATTTGTGGAGTGAACCAATGGGTGGAAGATCTTTCTCTCTGTCTCTCCCCTTCTCTGTCTGTAACTCTACCTCTCACATAAATAAATGAAACCTAAAAATTTTTAATGAGCAAAAAGGTGACCCCTCCACCCCGCAACTGGCACCGTATATAATAGGACACTATCTCCAATAAGCACACAAAAATAGTATACTGAGTGTTAACAGCATGATGAAATACCACTGCAAGTCTATTTGCGTAAAATCAAACAGAACTGCTAATAGGAAATGTTGACAGGAATGTGGAGTAACAGGAACACGCATTTACTGAAGAAAGGAATTCAAAGCAGAACAGGAACTCTAAGATAATCTGGCAGTTTCTTACAAAAGTACACACACAGCATCAGACTCCAAATGTGTATCTCTATGTATTCAATTGACCTGGAAAACAAGCACACATAAAAACCCCTTGCCATGCTCACTGTCTTATTCACAATCACTAAAAACTGTAAACTGGATGATCTTCATGAGGGATGAATACGCAAACTATATCAGATCCATAATGAGGAACAGGATTCAGTGAGAAAGAGTAACAAGCCGTGAAGTCATGTGCTGACTGGGCTAAATTTCAGGTACATTTTTCTAAGAGAAAGAATCCATACCCTAAAGTCTACATGCTAAGATTAAACTCACAGGACATTCTGGGAAAAGGCCAAATAGAGATGGAGAACGCACGAATGAATGGCTGTCAGCGGCCACTGGAGTTCAAAGAGTTTGACTGCAAAGGGCCACACAGAGATCTTGTAAGGCAAAGGAGCTGCTACTTCAGTTGTTGGACTGGTGGTTAAGAGACACTCCCATGTGGGTTCAAACCACTGGTGTTTAGGAAACACTTTCAATGTGGGTTCAAACCATTGCTGGTTAGGAGACACCCATGTGGGTTCAAACCCTTGCATCTGTACTTTCCACACACTGCTCATGTAGACAAAAAATGCACCCAACTGTACATCTGAGTTTCATTTCATTTTATGTAGATTTTACCCCAAAGCTCAACAAACATCTATGTTCCCTGAAGGCCTCACTGTTGATTGGCAGATGGTCAGATGGTCACAATAGGACTTCAGTGCTGCTCTCAGAGCTTGTTAGACCTCAGCAGCAAACCGGGAAAACCCTCTTTACTCTCTTTCCCAGGAGGCAAGTCCCATTTCCTGTGATTTTGGTGTATTCTGCCTATGGCACTCTTAAGTGTTCCAAATGAGATCCCTAGGCTATACTCCAGTCAGGAGGTCTTATGTCACAGAGATGCAATCAAAGCATGGGCGGGGGTACTCTCTAATGCAAAACTGAGATAAAAGGAATGGAGATCCAAGCGAGGGGCCTCCCTGGACCTGGCCACAAGTTGTAAGAAGTGGTGCCTTCCTCCTGGGCCTGCATCAACCCCATAGGCTTCGCAGCGTTGGAGGATGTTCCTCTAGCTAGGGATATATCAATCGACTTTGCCAGGATCATGAAACTTGAGTCTGGATCCTGCAGATCTCACCATATTTATCACCGCTCTAGTAGGGAGTCCATGAATCTGAATTTCACTCCTTAAGAAACCCAGTGCCCAGACCTTCCCTTCCAAACCCTTGCCTTGAGGGAAACAGCTGAGTGTATCTATAGTCAGTCCTGGGTCTTTGAAATCTCCTGACTCACAGTCAGCCAACCTCCCCAGTGCACTGAATTTATGGCTGCAAGGGGCCCTGGGCTGCAATCAAGGCAGTTTCATAACTTGTTGGTCCTCATGGCTCTGGCTGGCCTTGCTAAGGTGCTTCTTCCTGGAGGGGTCATGTCTTCAGAGTGCAAGGCTCAAGGCCTGCCATAGGTGTAGTGCCTGGACTGGCACAATGGCCTGCGAGGTCCTGACCTCTGGGCAGATTATGTTACCACCACTCCAAATGCAATCACGCGAGAAGCAGGAATGACAGTTTTGCCTGTACAGCAGGCATTCCTGGGGGACTTCCACAACTGACTTGGATACAATAGGAAAGCTACAAGCTGAAATCCAAGTTGATAGGCCTATTAAGTCCTAAATCATATATGCCTGGGAGGCTCCCCTATGAAAGCAAGGAGGTAGATAATATAAAATGCAGTTTTGCTACATTAAAAGGCAGTAGAATTTTGGCAATCAAAATAGCTGAGTTGCTCAGTGAGGTTAGGCCAGTAGCACAGATATCAACAGTGACCCACCAAAGGAGGAACTCCAAAGTAAGGGTAAGGACTGTCCAGTTTGAGGCCACACAAAGTCATTAGGAATTGGTGTTGTCCCAAGAATTGGTGGACATGTGAATTTCAAGATGGCCTTGAGTGAGGGTGGACTGCTCGACGACAAGTAGGATGATCACAAGTTCTGCCCCCTGAGACACATGACACTACCCCGGTATCTGGAAGGAGGTATCTAATGTGAGATGACTGATGGGGGCTCTGCAAATAGACGAAGTGTCAGAGGCTGACATCCTCGTAAGGACACAGACTCCTCAGGGTGTGGGTTTGTCTGGCCTCTGAAAATACCACTCCCATTTAACAAGAGATTCTCAGTGGCTGGAGGCCAGGGCCCAGCTCATGATGCTGAGGGAGGTAGTCCAAACTCTCTGAGTCAAACAGTAGTGTCACTACAAGCGCAAAGCTAACTTGAAATCCTTTACCCATGGGGCCCTCAGAACCAAAAACTAGCCATAGAGTAATCCTTAGCTTTTTCCTTGGAAGTATGCCTGACCAAGGTGCATCCTTGTGGGTGGCTGGTGAGACAGATGAATCTTAGGGTTCTTTAGAGGTGAGGAAGTTGGTGTTATCAGAAACTGAAAATGTGCTGGGCTTCCCTGGTTGAAACTGAATCAGTGAGGAAAAGCAGATATATGTGGATTTGTTGAGGAATTTTTCTGAAATCCTTGTTCAAAATATAGACCAAAAATTTGAGGTTGCAAGCTCTCATCTCATATGGAACTAAGGTCCACACCCACTTGGACAAGAAGTCAGTTGCTGATGATTGAGGCCCATTTTTCCTCCTCCTCTTGATTATCAGTTGAAACGATGTCCTCAACATAGTGTCACAGGTGGATGCTAGGAGACAACTGAAGGCCAGCCAGATCCTGTTAACACAGACCACGAGCCCTGGAGGACCACAGAGGCAGTCGACTGGAAGTCTCATAAAGGTGCATTGTTGGCCTTCAAATTAAAAGGAAACGGTGGGGCTGGTGCTATGGTATAGCGGATTAACGCCTTGGCCTGCAGCGTAAGCATCTCATATGGGCGTCAGTTTGAGATCCCCTGCTCCAATTCCCAACCAGCTCTCTGCTATGGCCTGGGAAAGCAGTAGAAGATGGCCCAAGTCCTTGGGCCCCTGCACCCAAGGGGGAGACCTAAGGAACCTCCTGGCTCCTGGCTTCGGATCGGTGCAGATCCGGCCATTCCAGTCAATTCTCTCTTTCTGCCCCTCCTCTCTCTCTATAACTCTGACTTTCATATAAATAAATAAAATCTTTACAAAATAAAGTAAATGGTGCCAAATCTCCACAAGACACATACAGTTCTTGCCACAGCAATAATGGCAAAATTATCAGGGGCAGTCTGATAATATCAAGTAATGCAAATTCAAAGTGAAGCTTGACCTTCTTGAGGTGGTGGTAACCTGCGGGATGCCTCCATTCCTATCTGCCAGCTTGGAGAAGGTGCTTGATGGGTGAGTTAATAGATGACTCAATGTATTTCAAAGAATACTTATACTCTATCATGGACAGCTATGTCGATTCCCCACTTGTCCTTCTTGAGTTATATTTTAGGGTGTTGACAATATAGGGATGTGTGTTAAGTGTCCATGCCGCATCAGTACAAACGACTTGGGATTGATCTAGGTGAAGAACAGAAGTCTTAGGCTGTCCATGCCAAGGAACAGAAATGATAGGCAGAAGAAGAGGTAGGCAGAAGCAACACAAGGACTCATAGGAAGAGGTTGGGTCCTGTCTTGATGCTGACCATGGCAGTCGACCCAAGGGCATGTCCTCTTCATAGTCTGTCAATGAATAATGACTGATGCACTTTACTGGGAATGATCACAATGCCGTAGGAGTTAGTGCCTGATGATCCATAAGGCTCTATAATGTGACCCTAATACATGGTGATTGTCATCCACAAAGATGCCTGGTGATGATTGCTTACCGCTAGTGTGCACAAGAATCCCACCATGGTTGAATGTCTGGTGGTCTTCTCTCTGTCTAGAAGGGCCTCAGTGGTGTCCAGAAACTCATGAGACTTGCCTGAAATGAGCCAGTAGGCAGCAGTGCAGCCTGCGAAGCCACTGACTTTGTTGACGATGTTCAGAATAGGTCCCAACATGTATCACAGGAAGTCAGAGAGCGCACCACATCTGATTACACAGCACTGGACTGCAGGGAGATGCTGAAGCAAACTCTGGCTGTGAACACTCTACGTGTCTGCCTTCGTATTTCCCAGGGTGCTTAGGGTTTGCGTAGGTTGATAAACTTCTGAAGTTGCCGCCAACAGGGCCAGAAGTTTTGCTCGGTCCTGTGGTGGGACTGCTTTTACAAGTAACAATGGGAATGCTGATGTTGTGGCACAGCTAACAATGCTTCCGTTTTATATTGTAGTGCTGGGGCATGCCCCAGCTACTATGCTTCCACTCCAGCTTCCTCCTAAGGTGCATGGATAGACAGTAGGTGATGCCTGAAGATCTCAGGACTCTGCAACCCATGTTGGAAAAGAAGATGGAGTTCCTGCTCCTGGCTTCACATTGGCTAATCTGTAGCTGTTGCAGCCATTTGGAGAGTGAGGTAGTGGTTGGGATGATATCTCTATGTCGTTTCCTCACTAATATTTTTTTTCCAAATAAAAAATCATTAAAATGTAACAATAGCCAAGGAACTGTGACAGAGTTGTTAAGATGTCATTTGGGTTACCCACGTCCCATATCAGAGCGCCTGGATTTCAGTATAATCTTCCTGCAGTCAGGTTTCCTGCTAATGTACACTCTGATGGATAGTAGGCATTGGGTCAGTTACTTAGGTCTCTTCCACCAATGTGAGAGAACTGGATGGAGTTCTTGGCTTCTGACTTTGGCCTAGCCCTTTCAATAATGTCTGCAGGCTTTGGGGGTGAGGCCAACAGATGGAAGCATCTCTCTCTATCTCACACTGCCATTCTAATAATTAGTATATAAAGGCATCAATACATTGTATTTGGCATGGCAATTAAAGACATCATTTTTGGTGCCAGCATCCCATCGCAAAGTATCTAGGATCAATACCTGTCATGCATTCACATCCAGGTTCCTGCTTCTGCTTACCCTGGGAAACACAGGATGGCTCAGATATTTGGGCCCTTGCCACTCAAGTGGAGTGATCCAACCAGTGGGAAATCTGTTTTCTTGTCTTTCAATGAAACATAATGACTAACGCTTAAGTAAGTGAATAAATAATTCCACTGGGGCCAAGGTAGCTTGGTTGGGACTGTCCTAGGGGCAGCTTTGCCATTCAGGGCTGGTGGCTTGCACATACTCACTGAAGAATGCCTAACAGCTCTCTTTTATTCTTAATTGTACACGTCCATTGAAATACAGAGGCTCCTGCTGTAGTGTGGTGTTTAACATGATCTGGACACCCACTGCAGTAGAAAACGTTTATGTTCACCCTCTGTGCAAACATGATGCCATCTGTTTGTGCTTTCCAGACAAGCTGGACAGGATCTTGATGTGGCTCAGTGACAGCTGCCAGCTGCCAAGTCTGTTGCCCCGTGATTTGTAGGCTACTTCCTGTCAGGAACACAGCAAGGTTGCCCTTCTCAATCTGTTCCTGTCCAGTCTTTGGGCAGGCTTTGTATCTCCATCCACAGCAAGGTGTATATACATCTGTGTGGACTTCCTTGGTGTCTGAGATACAGAACTTCACCACCTGAGACGGTTGCAGACAAGGCATCTACTTTCTTAACCATGTCCTGGGTGGTACTTGGCAGCATGTGAGGAGCAGCCAGCTGTCATCTGGTGCATGCAGACTCACCATCCCGCAGCACACAAGACTCTGCATTACCCAGGTGGAGGTACAAATGTTTGAAATGATCTCATGAGACCATGTTACTTATACGGGGCTGCCAGCAACACTGTGCACACA